TGTGTTTCTCTTTTTTGGTTGCTGAGTAATATTCCATTGTATATATGTACCACATCTTTTTAATCCAGTCATCTACCTTTGGAAATTTGGGCTGCTTCCATATTTTTTCAATTGTAAATAATAGCTGCTTTTTTTTTTAAAGTTTTATTTATGCATACAAGAACTGGGATACAGTAAGGGGGAAGGGTAGTCACTAAGTGGGAACAGAATGAGAACCGAATAGACAGATTGAATGAAATACACTGCTGAGGGGAACAGGTCTGCTGTACCATATGGGTCACCTCTCTGGCCAGGGGTTGAACTGGTCCTACAGTGGCGTCAGATAGCTTCATAGTGCTGAAGCAGCTTTAACCCCTTTTGCCACCAGGGAGGTCCTGCTTCAGCTGTTTTAACTCCAGCCACTAACTGCAGTTACACAAGAGAAAAAGTTACAACCCAAATTCCAGTTCAGTTCTTTCTGAATCCTTGACCAATGGAATCTGAGAGATGATAGGATGTTATCTCATACTACTATGTTCTGAGACAATTTGTTCTAGAGAAAGATACCTGGAACAATGGAAATGACAAAATATCAGAGGTATTCAGCTGGGCAAATCCTTTTTTTCTGAGCTTTGGTTTCCCTTGTAAACAACGGAAGTAACTCCATAAGGCAGGTCCTCAAATGACATCAGCTTTTCAATATAGTTCATTATAAAAATTGATTTCTGGGGAGAGGGGCACTGTTGGTGTGGTCTCCCCAGGTCTGCATGGTCTCCCCAGGTCTGTTTGGGTTTTCTCCAGGTTCTCTGGATTCTTCCCACATCCCAAAGACTTTCATTTAGGTTCATTGGCTCGGTGAGATGTATTTGGTGAGATGTGTCTTGCCCAGGAATGTGCTGTAGGGTCCTTGTGCCCTAAGTTGCTGGTATAGGCTCCAGTCACCTGAGACCTTGAACTGGAATAGTTGGTGGAAAATGAATGAATACAAGTGATAGATGAATATGAGCAGCTTTTTTTTTTTTTTGGCCTTAATTTGTAAGTTTTGTGATGCTTTCGTGACTGAATATATGCAGCAGGAACTTAACTCCTGTTTGTATCAATTAGCCTGTGGTCAAATTGGTTTGTTATGCAGCAGGTTCTTGTTAACTTCATTTCATTCAATACTGCTTAGTTAAAATGTTGATGAGAAAAAAAAAATCAATCCCTTTCAACACTGAACAGAATGATGTTATTTGAGGACCTGGCTTTGTTTCTGGGACTAAGGCTGGGGTTCTGCTCCCTGTCACTGCCCCCCAAAAGTCAATAAGCAGAGACAAGAATTGAATGCACAAGTGCTTCTATTTTTCATATTACTAGCCATTGATCTGAGAGTATGGTGGACATAATACTGTGAAGAGACTCTTCTGCTGCCTCATCTCTGACAAAAACAGTCACAAGCTAATTAATCAGAACAGCTATCATAGTTGCATCAGTTTATCAGAGCAGCCCATCATGACTGATGTTCTTGATATTCCTCATGTTCAACCCCCAGAGTTTATTATTGGCCTAGTTATTTTGACCTTGGTACATTCTGGCCTGCTTGGTTAATTTCTGATGGTGTCAATGTCTGTCACTCTGTTGGGCATCACTGGGGCAGGATTCTCAATTTAAAGCAAGAGATTTAGTTTAGAGAAAACAGGTCATTAGTCATATAGTGTGTCTATACAGCCTATGTTCTGCGTCTAAGTGCAGATCCCTGATTTAGGTATGGTGCCCTCCCCTTCCTCCCAAACTCCCTATCAGTTTCATTATCTTGTTTTGCCTAAAGTTGCAGTTTCTAAGAACCTATGGTCAATGTTAAGTGAGGACTAAACTGTAACCTCTAAGGATGGTTCCAGCAGAGATATTTGGGGTTTACCTAGTGTCAATTTCATTGCCTATTAGATATCCAAGTCACTGTCTCACCATTCTATTACTCCCAGAAAGAAAACTAATGGCCCCAGACACCAAGAGATATCTGTGAATCTACTGAGGGAAAGGAGTGGACACCTATGACTCCAATCTGCTTGAGATATCTTGAAGTAGAGAAAAAATGAACAGGATTTGGTCACTGATTGGCACTGGCTGTGTGATCCTGAGAAACTCTTATAACCTATTTGGGTCTCAGTTTCCTCACTTGCAAAAAAGGAGAAATTATTACCAGCCTTGTTCTCTAACAGGGTCAATAGACTGAGACTGTATATGAGTGCAATTACGTGTTCAGGAATCAGGGAATTGAGGGTTGGGAAAGAGTGTGCTGAGGCTTGGGGGTGGGTCCCTGGTAACATCAGCTTCCTGCCTTAGGGTAGGAAAGGGGGTTGTTGATAAAAGCAATGACAGGAGGTTGGGACTGGGTTGTTCTGGGCTGTGTTGGGGTTCGTCTCTTAGCAACTGTTTCTATTCCAGTACCTTTGAGAATCCATCCCACATCCATAGAGGAGAGAGAGGTAAGGTCTCCTTATAGTGAAAAAATTTTAACTAAAAAGAAGAAATTTTAACTAAAAAAAAGTTAAGTTCTGGAGGACTCTTACTCCCTTTCTTTTATATTTACTGACACTTCCCCTCTTTACAAAATAGAAACTTGAATCATGTTTCAAATTGATATTCCTGAATGTTCAAGGGCCTCCCTTCCCTGTGAATCTGCAAACAATTTCTGGAAAGGTAGAAAGCCAATCTGGGGTGTATAACGTTTAGGAGTCCTTATAACTTCAGCAAGAAACAATACGATTGATTCATTTAATAATAATGAAAAAGGAATGGTAGTAAACAGTGTGGATAGGTTAGGAAATAAAAAGGATTGATGCTTTCTCCAGGGACCTTGAAATCTCTGATGAGGTTTTATTTTTAGGTGTTAGTGGCAATGCTGTGGATGGAACAGCTTGTGGCCAGCTCCACCAAGGGACACACCCAAGCCCCAGACCTAAGCCCAGGGAAATGGGACACCTCTCCATTTTGAAATGTTGATGAGCTGTGGAAGGGAGAAGGACAGGGGAGCAGATGGAATTCCTAGACAATTGTTCCGGCTGTCACCAGAGAGGACAGGCAGGAGGGATCACTGGATAATTTACAGAGGAACACATGCTAAGCCTTTTCCGGAACCATCTGGCCAAGAGAGGCCTGAGCTTGGGGTAGATGTCATCTTCTTTATATGTGTGTAAACTCCTCAACCTCCAGCCCACCCCATTTCCTCTGCTTGAACTGTGGCTTTCCCAGGAGGGGTCTGCTCCCCGAGGACCCAGCTTCAGAGTTTCATCGGGCTTTTGCTGAGCCTGGATTCTATCTTCGCTACCGTTCCTATGGGACCACGTCTGGCCTAGGGGGCCTGTACCTTCCAAATAGGATTTTCAACCTCTACTCACCATTATAATCAACCCCCACATCACTCATCTCCATGCCATTTATTCATTCAATAGACATTGATTGATAACTTACTATGCCAAGCACCATAAGATACTGGGGATTGGTGATGAAAGAGAAAGTCCTACACATATGGAATTTGTAATGTAGTAGATGATGCAATAACCATATATATTTAATATGTCAATAATAAGTGCTATGGAAGAAAACATTAAAGCAAGGGAGGGAGTGCTTGGGAATGCTCTTTTAGATGGAGTGGACTGGGAAGGTTTATCTGAGATGGCAAAATTTGAGAAGAGACAGGAATGGGATTGAATGTTTGTGGGGAAAAACATTCCAGGCACAGGCAACAGAAAACCTAAAGTCCCTGAGGCAGAGTATGTCTGGTGTGTTAGAGGACCCTTACTATTTATTGTTTCTGTATGACAGCCACCTGCTAGGGAATATGAAGAAGCCATCATAGTTTTTGCCCCAAAGGAACAGCAGCTTAGTGAGGAACATGACAGGAAATAAAGTACAGCACAGAATAGCTATAATGAAATTATGCCAAGTTACCAGAGATGCCCAACAAATGAAACATCAAATTCAGTTGGGGGGATCTGATAGGTTTTTTTGGAGGAGGTACAGTTTGAGCTGAGGGTTGAAGGAATAGGATTTTATATGCAAGAGAAGAAGGATTTTAAGGCCTCACCACCTGAAGCCACGGGATATTTTGGGAACCTGAAGTCCCCAGAAGAGGTGGAAAATAAGGCTGGTGAAGGTGGAAAGGGCTGGGTCACGTGCATCTCCACTTGCCAAGCTGAGCAGCTGACCGTATCCTTCCGATGATGGGGAGCCAGTTCTTTGGTGCCTATCACTTCTTGGTCTTTAGGCTAAGATCAAGTGCAGCTCTTTGGCTCATACTACGTATTTTACTTTAGCGTAGAAAAACTCGGGTGGGGGGGGCCTCCTAGTGGCACAACGGGTTAAAGCGCAGCACTATGAAGCTGTCTGCAAGCCACTGCAGCACGGTTTGGATCCCCTGCCAGGGAGGTGACCCACATGGCACAACAGACCTCTCCTGTCCCATCTGCTGCTCCCCTCAGCACTGTGTTTCAGCACATCTGCCTGTTCTGCTCCCCTCTCTGTCTCTGGTAAATCCTCTCATCCCTCACACCTTTGGCCTGTACCCCAGTTCTTGTATGTATAAATAAATCTTAAAGAAAAAGAAAAACTGTGGTATGGGCAGTGGATTCACCAGTAGATTGGCAGAGCAGGTCGATCTTCTGAAATACACAGCGAGAGGGAGCAGCGACTAGATAGCAGAGGTCTGCTGTGTGCCACATGGGTTAATGCCCTAGATGCGAGAGCACTGAAACCTAGCCCACTGGCTATCAGGGAGGCCCACCTCACCTTATCTCTTTGCATCGTTTTGTTTTCTTTTTGAATCCTATTCTTCTCGCTAGTGGCCTATTTCTTGATATTTTCCTTTTTCCAGAGGCCAGTTATACAAATACTGCTGTTAGCGGATCCCCGACTCTCTCCATCACCCAGTGCCCCAGTTCCTCAGTCTGAGGCCACGCCCACAACCACGCCCCGATGACGCAAGGCGCCCGTGCGTGGGGATTCCCGCGGTCGTGGCCACTACCCGGCCTGCCCCGCGGCAAGATGGCGGCCTGAAGGCATCGGGCAGCGGCGGAAAGTTTGTTGTGGGCTTGAAGTAGTGGGGCCGGGAGGTTAGAGATGGGGGTGAGATCGTGGGGACGCTAATCTGGAATAGGAACGGGGGAGAGACTAGCTCTCAGGTTGTAAAGAGGAACCTAATGGTGGAAGTCTGGAGGCGGAGAGAAAAAAAGGGAGTTGGGGCGGAGGGGAGGGGCCTAGGATCCTTTGGCAGCCCTGGGGGAGGGGGCTTAGGGCGGAGGAAACAAGTAGGTTGTGTGCTAGGCTTGGAGAAGCAGAGTGGAGAACTGGAGGGAAATTCTTAAGCGAGGGTAAAGAAATCTGAAACTCTGAAACGTGGGGTTGAGGCCGGTGTGTATCAAGCCAGTAGAATTAGAAAGGGGTCTTTTCCGTGGAATGATAATGGGGCAGGAGGAAGCGAGACCTGGAGGATGCTGGGCAGGTGTGTTGAGGAGGGAACTAAAGTCAGTCAAATGACCCTCTTCCCGGCTTAGGTCATTTTTTTTTCCCCACCCCACCCCCGCCCCCCCACCGTTCCTGTAGCAGCATCTGCCCCAATTTCAGCTGAAGACTAAGGGGCTTCAGGGACTGGAAGAAATCACAGTGCCTGCTTGGAAAGAAGAGGTAGCGTCTTGCCCCCGCCCCACCCCAGAGCGGGTAAGGTGGTCTCCAGTACAGGCTGACATGCTCCCTGGGAACAGGATGTGTGGCTGCTAGTGATGCTGAGGATCATTTAATCTTAGGAGGTTTCTCTTCTACAGAGATTGTATTTCCTTTGGTTCCAAATTTAGTTTTCTGCTTAGGTTGCATGCTGAATTTTGAGAGCTGGATGTAGATGGACCCTTTGTCTTTGAAGTGAATATGGGCAAAGGCCTAGAGGTCAGACTGAAAGTCACAAGCAGTTTCCTACATGCTCACTGCATTTATTCCATCACCCCATCACATCTTCAGTTTGGCAACTTGCCTAGAATTATTTGTGGGTGACAGATGATGGGGCGTCAAGAGAAAATAAAATATCTGATGGTATTCACTGACCATTAAGGTACTTGCTGTCACCCACCCGTGAATCCACTCTTGCAAAATATCTTCTACTTTTGCCTTTGACTTTTGATAAGAAAGTTCATTAAGAGTTCCTTTGGGAGTTGAGGGTTCAGAGGAAGGGGAAAAGTAGGTTGGGATTAGGAAGAAGAAAATGAGATAAGCCAGTAGTAAGAGGTCATGCTAACTGGTAAAACCCCGGACATGTGTATTTCCCTGATATTTGAAAGCTGCTTTGTAATCTGGACCGGTGTGATAGAAGGAAAGGGTTGTAGACTTTGCCATTTTCTGGTAGCTTTTTGTATTCTCGCCCATCAAACATCTAAACAAAAATCGGTTTGACTGGTAGGTCTAGTTTGATCCTCACTAACTATCTGCTGGTCTCTCCACTGCATTCCCGTGCCACAAAATTTTACTCCAGACAAACCAGTCCAAATCACTGTTACTAGGCTAGATTCATACCTTCAGATATCCGAAGAACTAAATAGTCAATAGCTATTTAGCTGTGACTCCATTTCTGGAAGGCTGAGAACTTTCTTGCTAAGAACAATTTGTGGATGTTCCCTTAGAAGTTGTAATCAGGGCCCTCCCTGGTGGCACAACGGGTTAGGATGCAGCATTGCAAGCTGGCAGCAGAAGCTTCACTGCGAGTTTGATCCCCCGCCCCAGAGGTGATCCATATGGCGTGGCAGACCTCTCCTGTTTTGCCTGCTGCTCCCCTCAGCAGTGTACTTCGTCAATCTGCCTATTCTGCTCCCCACTCTGACTCAGTGAAACCTCTCACTGCCCCTGCTCCTCTGGCCTGTACCCCAGTTCTGTATACCTAAATAAATCTTTAAAAAAAAAAAAAAAGCTGTAATCAGCAAGGACTGTGGCCAAGGCTTTAGAGCACTGACGCCAGAACCATACTACCTAGTTTAAGACCGGCTTTGCCTTTTTTAGCTGTGATCTTTAGAAATTGCATAGCTTTCTGTGCTTTAGCTTTCTCAGTCAAAAGACATGGGTAGTAATACTTTTCTCAATGTATTGTGAGGGTTAAAAAGTTAATCCATTGATGTGTTTAGAATAGTGCTTGATAGGTGTTATGTTAGTCAGGGTTCAGCTTCAATTTCTGCTTCATGATTAAACCTTGTGTCTCTTTGGATGACCTGCATTGGCTTGGGCTGCTATCCTGCTGTTAGGGAGGCCTGATGTTAGAGCTAGCATAGAGTTGTTTAGAGTAAGACTATCATTATTTAAAGTAATGTTGAAATTCCAATAATTTCATGTTTAAAGCTGGAAGGTTGTAGAACCTTCTTTACAGTTGAGAAGTAATAAGATTAATGCTAACTGAGCACATCCTATGTGCCTGGCACTGTTGTTAGTATTTTATGTTTACTATGGATAGAATTATCACCCCCATTTTACAGATGAGTACATAAAAGTGCCAAGTGGTTAAGTAATTTGTCTAAGGTCACCCAGCTACTAGCAGAGGTAGGAGTTGAACCTGGTAATTTTGCTTTAGCAATTGAGGTTATTTTGTATTTGTTTTTGTATACAGTTAATTTTTAAATATGCCTGGTGGCAATTTGTACTTCTTGTTTGTTTTACTGTATCTTGGCTCACATTTGTTATGATGGTTATATATATATACTCATATTGTAGTGAATTTTTTTGGTTAAAAAATATTTTAGGAGCTCAACTTTTACAGCTCTCTCCTTCCTCTCAAAAATACTAACTGGTTCAGGGACTGGTGAAGGAACCCTTTGTGCCAAATCTGGACTTTTCATGATTCAACTTGATGACTGCCCTGTGAAAGCTCCGAGCTGGGGATGGATGAGCTGGCTGACATTAGGTCTACTCTAAGTGTGCCTTAAAGGGGTGTATGGCGATGTGTTTGTATACATGAGGTACAAACCTAAGGTCTGTTTCTGACTGATTACTGACATGAGCACTTGAAGTAGCCATAGCATTAAGTTCATAGTTACCTTTCTTTTAAAAATAGCATGTAACAAACGACACAGAAAAGAAAAGAAGGTAGCATTTTATTTATTTAGTTATTTTTAAAAGGTGGCATTTTAAACAACTCCCTACCCCCAGCTTGCGGGGGTTGGGGGCAGAGGAAAACAAGTGTGCTTCTGCTGAATCTTGTGTTGTTGAGGAAGGCCTTGGCATAGTACTCACTTCTCTTGTTAGCCAGGGAGGAGGCCTCTGTGCAGCCTGCGGGCAGAGGTGTGCCCAGAGTTTGATTGACTGTCTTTCCTTTGCCCTGTATTTAAGAGTCATTCTTCCCCCTCCTTCTGAGTCATGTCCTGTCTATTTAACACACCCTCAGGGGCCAACTTTTTCTTCAGTAAATGATTCTACACTCAGCCATCAGAGTAGGCACGTGCCTGGTATCTCACCAGATTTCGGGAGAATGGGGGTTCAAGAGTTAGGGCTTTCCCTGGTGGTTGTGACCTAGCTCTGTGATGAACTTCTGTTCTTTGTGGCTCATAAGATTTTGAGAGTTAGGTAGCATTTGTCAGTCTCTTGTCCCACCCTCCATTAACTTAGAAGCCACCTACTAGCTCAAGATAATTTACTTTATCTTGATTTGTGCTGCAGTTAGCATGCTGAAGCGTGTCGCTCTGTTAGAGTACACCTTTGTGTTTTGGTAGAAGTTCTCAGACTTTCTGGATTCAGATCACATTTTAGCAAATGTTTGGACTGCAGGGTGAAGCTGATGGATTTTGAGCCAAATCTCCCCCTTTACCCACTTCTCTGTTATCTAACTTTTTCATAACACTCCTTATCTGTGTATTAACTTGGAATCTAATCCCTTCACCCCCTTCTCACCACCAGAATTTGATGCCAAGGACCCACTGGAACACCAGGTCGACATTTCACACTTGGATTCAGCCGCTTTATAACTCTTTGGACGTATCTCATTCTCGCTAGCTTCTGGACCTCTGCGGGCTGGTCCTACAGTGGGTGAAAGGATTCATCAGAGACACAGAGGCAGATCTACCGAAATATACTGTTGAGAGGAGCAGTGGGTAAGAGTGGAGAGGTGTGTGCTCCATGTGTGTCAGCTCCCTGGCTGGCCTGGTATGAACTCTGTGCTGCATAATAGAGTGGCTGACAATAGCTCGATAGTGCTGTGTCTTTCACCCCTGTGCCACCAGGGAGGTCCCTCAAGTCTGTTTAAATATCACTTCTTTAGGATCCTATCCTTCTGTAGTGTTCTTCTGTGCTTGCATCTGTTTTTATACTTTCGTTGTGATTGCCTTTTTACTTCTCTGACTCTCACAAGACTTCAAGTGCTCCAGAAATAGTGACTGTCTTATTCTGGCATCTAGGATAGTGCAGGGCATATAATAGGTAATTTATAATGCTGTGATCTATAGAGAATGAATGCAATGTGGCAGGCAGTCTCCCCATTTCAGCCTATCAGCTATAAAAACTTTTCCTGGGCCTTCCTGGTGGCGCAAGGGATTAAGTGAAGCTATCAGTAGCCACTGCAGCTTGAGTTTGATAGTTTGATCCCTGGCCAGGGAGCTAACACACACAGCACAGCAGACCTCTCCTGTCTTGCCTGTTGCTCCCCTCAGCAGTGTATTTCAGTCAATCTGCCTGTTCTGCTCCCCACTCTGTCTCTGGTGAATCCTCTCACTCCCCCTCACCTCTGGTCTACACCTGAGCTCTGGTATCATAAATAAATACAATAAATCTTAAAAAAAAAATTCCCTATAAAAAGAATGTCTCTTTCCTTAGAAATGCCTTGTGTTTCTCCTTGTCAAAATAACATGTTTAGCCCATCATGTGACAAAATTTTTTTTTATTCTCTGGTCTAAACTTGATCCTCTCATCTGAGTTATTTCCACTCCACTTCTTGGCTCCTAAACTTCCCACTGAACCTGCTGTGCACATTCATGTATTCTTGGCTGTGCATTTCCCTCTCCCTGTAATGCTCATATTTGCCTCTGAATCCCTGCTAGTTCCCTAAGGCCCAGCTTCTCCTCACCCCCGTGAGAGGACTACCCTGCTTTCCTCTTGGCTCCTACAGCACTTTGCTTGAACCTCTGTTCTGGCATTCACCATGTTGTTTGGTGAGTTCTGTTATATGTCTGTCTCTTTTATTGAGTTGATCCCCTTCCTGATCATGGGGTGTGGGGATACAGGAGACCTGGGGAGGGGGTGGGATGAGCTATGTGACAGAATCTGATTTTGGAGCTTGGCAGACCTAGTTTATGTCCTGACTCTGCCACTTACCAACTGTGTGACTTTGGTAAATTGCTTAACTAGTAGGATCCTTGGTCTTGTCCTCTATAAAATGAGGATGACATCCTTTTTTGCAGGAATATTGAGTATTAGCGGTATTCACAGCATGTGGCCTGCTGCCTGGCAGTGAAAGATACTCAGCAAGTATTTGTTGAATGAATGAATCCTATCTGGAAAATCGCAGTGGGGTTTGAAAGGTTTTGTTTTACTCAAACTAGAATAAGCCTTTCAGTTAGTTTCTGCCAGGATTCTAGCAGCGCTTTTGAGGTGGAAGTAAAATTGAGTCTCTTTTTTTTATGATGAAGCTATAAAAATAGTTAAAGTAGGAACATCATCCATGAGTAGGCTGTGTAAAATAAGATTGTTGATGCGTTTTCTCAGCTTTTGTGTTGTAATGAATCCTCTGAAGTATCATGCCATGTGTACAAGATAGGTGGTGACCTTGGTGGATACAGGTGGGGGCTGGTAGGTGGTGGATTTTTAATGTAGTTGAGACTGGATGACAGGGTGGGGTGTTTTATAGACTGAAAGTGTTGGGTGAGGCTGAGGCAGCACATGCAAGTATAGAGGCAGGCACACTCCTTGACCCTGGTTTTCTCAGTCCTTTGATGACATTCTTGTGCCACAGAACAGGCCTACTCAGATGTTCCCCATAGGTGGGAGGTAACTGAGTCTGGCTTTTTTCTTTGCCTTTTTGATACTAGTATAGTTGATGGGAGTAGTCCTTAGGGCATCAATTCCCAACAAACACCAAAGGAATTTGTTTCCAGAAGTCTAGACCTCTTAACTGTTATAATGCCAAGTGGTGTTCTAGTGTGAGTTTACAGTCTGCTGAGAAAGATATGTCTGATTCTTAGGGAGGGCAGCCTTCTTGCCTGGTCCTTAAATCCCCAGTCCCAAGCCAGGGTGTTCTTGCTGTGCTCAGAGAGCACACACCACACTCTAATGCAAGTACTGTTAACCTCTCTGTCCCCTACCAAGGGCAAAGTCTTTCAGCTGTGAAGCTTTGTAGGGCTAGACTGTTTAGGTCCTACTTAATAGTCCTACCAAGTAGGTGCTAAGGCACCCTGGTTACTGTGTGACCCAACCCAGTCCTTCCTTAGTGAGACCAAGGCAGGTAGGGTTGATCTGGCAAAACCTTTTCAATGCTTAGAAAGGAAGAGCCTGCATTAACAGTGGGTGATTAATAATAGCATTACTAATTATTTTCCAGGATTGAAGTAATGTGGTTGAGTGATCCCCTCGGTGCTTGGCTTCAGCTCTCTCCCTGTTCAGCTTTTTTACTTCTGATACACACATAAGCCTGCAGGAAGGGGTTAAACGAAGCAATGAAATATGTACCTGATATATTTTCTTGCTAAAATTTCTTCTAAAAAGTGCTGCTGGCATCCTCTTTGTTATTCATTAAGCTTCCTTTAGTGCCTGGTGTTACCTGCTTGCTTTTCTGGTAGTATCACTAGTCCTATCTAGGTGTGCTCCCTGCTCACAGCCTGAACAATCTTGTTAATGCCTAGACGAGTCAAAGGGTGAAAGCAGTAGCTAAAAGTGGAGTGGAGTTTTCCAGGGGCTGTATACCTTGCTCCTGTGTATGGGGTAAGGGGCTCCGGGTGTGCACTGTAGCATATCTGCGGATGGCCTGTGTGCGGGAGAGAGAAGCTGTATTGTATGTTAAGCAGATCTGAGAGGAGATTGGAGGAGCCCATCTCTCACCCAGCCTGGATTGTTGTGTCCTTTTATTCTTCAAAGGGCCTGTGACTGGACTGACCATGAGTAAAGTATGGGACCCCACTTCTTTGTTAGTTACTATCTTGTAAATGCCAGCTGTCTGCTAGGTGACACTTGGAATCTATGAAGAATGTGATAGTCTCCAGAGCTTGAAACCCCTGAGGAGAGGGACTGCCTGGAGTGGGGGAATCAGCTTGGACCTTAAACCTAATCAGTGGGCTAGAACTCTGTTATTTTGGTATCGGGCAGTGGCCTCTAGTACCTTCACAGTCTAAGTAGAGCCAAGTGGAGGCTCTCAGAAGCCTTTTAGGGTCTTTATATCAGTATGGAGTTGTCCTGGCTTTCCTGTGGTTCCTTGGAGAAGGCAGTTTTTCATGCTTTCCCTGAAATTGGAAACCGGGTTCTTTCTGTCCCAGTTCTTCCTGTGGCCTTCACAAATCACTTGTCCTATCTGTCACAACCTGTTTTGTGGGTCTTATAAGAGACTATGACTGTGAGGATCAAAGGAAATATAATGGAAGAGAATGTGCTTCCAGAATGTTAAAGCACAGTGAGATGAAGGGGTTTTGCCTGTCTAAGAATTTGAATGGTTTCATCACCAACAAAATCATATCCTTGAATAAAATACCAATCATATAGAAAAACATAAAAAATAAAAGACCCTCCCTTTATTCCCTCACTGCTTCTGTCTAAGCCCTTTCCCCAAAGACAGAGAACCAGTTAACCTTTATCATGTACCCTTCTAGCCATTTCTGTGTACTTCATGGTCTGCATGGCCTGGAAAATAAGCAGAACTCAGTAAGAATACATACTGTCCTTCAGCATGTTCACCTAGCAGGTTCTGAGGGGTGGAGTGATCGAAGGGTGGAGTGATCGCTGTTGGAGGCTTTGAAGGATTAGTTAAGTCTCCTTCCCAGCTTGGTGGGCTGCTTCCTTGGGAGGAATGGAGATGCTTTCCTGGAGGTCCTCCCCATTGCCCATTGTCTCTGAGGGATCGCTTCACAGTTGTCTGGCAGGAGTGCCCTTTGGTGGGGATCAGGATGGAAATGGGTGTGATGCATGGACATTTCTTCTCACCTGTTTCTCTCCTTCACTCCTCTTTCATACTTGGTGTGGAAGAGAAAAAGCACTGATCTCTCAACCTGGATTTTAGAAACTTTGAATTGGCCAGGTCACCTGCCGTTCTATCTTTTGAAAGCAAACCAGTTCCAGCTGATGTTTTGCACTAACTCTGTGGGTAAGGATTCTGAAGGTCACTTATCAATGGCCATGCTTGCTAACCAGTGTAGGGGAGAGGCCAGAGGCTTCAGGAAGAATGGTCACCTTTTCTTCTAGATGGTTGGCTCACCCTCCCTAGTCACTACTTGGCCTTTTGAACTCTGGGGCTGTTGTGAGCAATATGGGGAGACTAGTGTGTAGATCCTTGGGGCGCCTCCTGGAGGCTTTTCTTGCCTGCATGAGTGGAGCACGGGAGGAGGGCCGTACCCACTCGGGGTCATCACTGTTCTTCCTTTTCTACTGTAAGTCATTTTGCCATCTGTGGGACTTTCCAGACAGAAAGAAGAATCTCTTTCTTGTCTTTTTCCTGCCAACATCTTACTCTTCTCTTTGAAGCACAAGTGACATTCGATGATCTACTGGCTGTAGCTTTCCTATCCTGCTGCCCCGGGGGCTGCCTCTGTTGGGGCTTCTGGGATTTCACTACTGTGGCCACATTTACCATGAGATATCTAAGCCAGCATATGTTCCTTTCTCCTGGGGGTGGTTCTGGATGCTTCAGGGAAGTGTTTTCTGGTCTTGCTCTGATGGGGGCACTGTCCTTTCTGAGTGCTGCTCATTCTGAGGATGTGGAATGGTCCTTGTGAGATCTGGGGGCCTGGCTACTGTGGAGCTTGCAACCTGTTCTGGGCTTTTCTGGGACAGCTTGCTGGGAAGAGCCAGCGTTTGAGAAGCTGAAAAGTGGCGTTATGCCAGACCTTCCCTTGACAAGCCCTGCTCTCGGCCTGGTCACACACTGCCCCATTGTTCTGTTTTCGATGCAGCTCTTGTGTAGCCTCTGATCCCTGGGCCACTTCTCTCCTTGTCCCTTTCCTCAGAGCCCGTGGGAGGTGGCGGAGTGGACTCTGCTGGCACAGTCACGGGGTGGGTGGCAGCTGCAGCTGGGGTGGCTTTGTTTCTCCACCCCAGCTTTCCGAACTCTGGTGCTGCCTGGCAGCAGTGTTTGGGGAATAGAAGGGAGAGGGGAGCCCCTCCGACAGCAGTGTACCCTTCCACATAGCAGCTGTCCTCACTTTCTGTTGGTCAAGCGGAAATCCTGGTACCTGGGGTCAGTGAGTGGGTCTCACTGGTTGGAGGGGGAGTGCTGTGCTTCCCCTGGCTGATTTCTGGATGGGGGAAGCCTCTGAGGGCCTAGTGGTAAGTCTGGAGGAGCTGCCCCTGTTGGGAGGGTACAGGGCACTGAGGCACCCTGCAGCTGGGCATTCCTTCTGCTCTCTCTTTGCAGCTCCGGACTTGGGCTGCTCACAGACCAAGCTGTCTGTTTGTATGGAGTGCCTGGAAGGCGCCTGCCATGGGTCTGTCGCTAACGGCGCTAACCAGGAAGGCTGGCTGCTTGGGGAGAAGACACTAACCTTGTGAGTCTGACGCGGGCCAACTAACCTGCGCTGGGGTACCATCAGCAGCGCCCTGTTTCCCTTCCTCCTCCCAGCCTTGCTGCCTCTTCCCCTTCCATGATGCCATTTCCTCTGCTCTCCTGGGGTTCCTACATCTTCCCAGTGTCCCTGCTGTTGGGGGAAGACTGTGCCCTTTCATAGGCAGGTGAAGGGGTTTCTGATGCATGCCCACCTTTCCGCCTGCCAGCTTGCTGTTGGCCTCTGTCCCCCTTCAACTTCCCCTCGGTTCCTTACCTCTTAGTTCTTGAGATCAGCTCAGGTTAGTGTTCTGTTCCATCTGCTTTTCATGCCCTGTGTTTGAGGCTAGCCCTCACTTACCATGCTCTCTCTGCTTCACAGAGTCAGAAGGAACTAGATGGAAAGGGAGTTTTCTTTTAGATAGTTTTTTTTTTTTTTTCACTTTTTCAAGAGGGGAAGATTAAGTAGTAACCCCCATTATTCTCACCCCAGGATGATAATTGGGATTAACTGCAGGGCTCTCTTTGGGAATGGGGAGGTTGAGGAAAACTTTGACTTGGCTGTGGAAAATTCCCTGAGCAGAAGATTGAGGCTACTTTAACTGAAAACTGGAGCCCAGAGCCAGGTCCCCATCTAAGATGGAGCTCTCCTTGGTGACCATTGCTCTGGGAGGTGGAGTGGGTGGAGTTTGACCCTTCACTGCCCACCACGCCTGGAGCTTTATGTGGACTTTAACCCTTTAACCCAGAAGAACTGGGAAAGACGCTTCAGCCAGAGGGGCTAGCACTTAGCTTTGGACTCACATTGGACCCAGGAAAGGCCCTGATCTCAGACTGGGAGACTGGTCAACAGTCTGCTCTATAGAGAAGCTCCCACCACAATTCCTTTTCCCTCCGAGTTTGGAAAAGAGAAGAGGGGCCTGCAGCTAATAGGAAGGCCGATTGCCAGGGGCTCCCTCGTAATCCTCCACAGGTAACTCTTGGTAGACTCTCTGGGACTCTGGCCTCTGGAGACAATGCAGTATTTTATGGGCTGGATGGGGGACCTGAAGACCTTTTAAGTGGGTTCTGTTTCCCTGGGCCTTGCAAAGAGAAAGCAGGGCATGCCTACCAGCATGGACGGGGGTGTAAATATAAGAGGGTGCACAAACAGCTTGGACTGGAGTGACCCTCGTAGGGAGTTTGCAAGCTGGAGGTTTTGTGTCTTGGCTCTGACCAGGAAAGCGAAGGGGGGCTGGAGTGCAGGTTTAGTTCAGAGCCACTTCTCACGTTACCTTTCCTTAGGAGCTCCTACCTTAGGAGCTCCTTAGGAGCGGGTGTGGGGACTGATGTCAAGTGCGCTTATGATCTTGGGAATGTTTTGGCCCTCCCTGTATGAGGGGGAGTTTGATTTGCTTGGATCATCACCAGTAGTCTTCAGCCTCTTTGTTCTGAGTGTTTGCTTTGCTGAGAGGCCAGGTGGATAGACTGAAGTATTTGCTCAGGTGGGGAGCCAGGCGAGCTCTCTCAGGTCACCAGCACTAGTTCTGAGTCTGCAGGATTACTCTGTGGCAGAATAATTCCCACCCATTTTGGCTTTTAAAAACCTGTCAGTCTCTTCCACTTAGAGCAGGCAGGGTGCCAGGCCAGGGCCGCAGGCAGCTTGTCCCAATTGGGTGAAGTTGGACTTGCCTGAAGGGGTGGCAGGCCTGGCTGTTGCAGGAGCAGCAGGGCTGGTCTGGGCACAGACTGGCATCTTCCAGCCTAGTCATCGTCCCAGAGCAGAGCCTGCGCAGGCCCCACCCCGCCAGCTGCTGGCTGCTTGCCTGCCACGCGCCCAGGATTGCTGAGGGCTTTGCTAGTGTATCTCAGGAACAGCTGCACACCGCCGGAAACTGGGAACTGTGGCAAGCAGGGGGCATCTGGGGAGTGGGGAAGGCTGAACCCAGAGGGGTCTTTGTTAATGGTGGCTGGCCCTCATGGGCAGTCTGCAGGGCTCCTACTGGGTCACCTTATTCTAAGCCTGGCTTGGCCGGCTGCTAGTTTGTAGCTTTTGGGTCGAAGTTAGAGGCAGAGTCTAGATTTCAGAGGCTTGTAAAGCAGGCAAGACAGAAGTATAGCCACCCCCTCCACGCCGCAGCTTCCCTCAGGCTTGCAGAGCTCAGACACTAGGGCTCATAGTTAAGGGTTCCCTGTTCTCCCCTATCCCTCTGCTTTCTGAATGATCAGACATGCATGCTTTAGCAGTTGATTAGGGCCTTTAAGAGTGGTCTGTGTTTATTTTTGGTATTTATTTGTATCCTGCTGGGTTCTGAGGGAAATAGGGAAGCATACTGCACAGTGGGGAACTGTAGGGGCTGGTTTTCCTTTCAGTTTAAAAGCAGTAGTTACTGCTAATTCTATTTGATTTTCTGTAGGGGAATTTTGAAGAACTTTAATGATTTTTGTGGTGGTGTGTGGGTCCATCCTGATTCAGAAACCTGGACTCACTGACTCTGGTTCCTCAGTTGATTCAGTGAGAACCTTTAGCAGAAAGGTATTCGGTTTGGAAGTGACTAGAGCCCAGATAAACTGCTGGGGCCATCATTTCTTAAAGGGAGTATGGTGATGTGGGGAACAGGGGGGCAGTTGGTCTCTCTAAGGCGGAGCAGCTGGACTAGAGCCAGTGGAGTGAAGTGGCATGGAATCTGGGGAGCTGGAGGAGACTGTCTGTGAGGGAAGGCTGAAGTTTGAAAAGCCCAAGAGCCACACCCATTTAGGATTCCCGCCTGTCTCCCTTTCCTGGATCATTGTGAAAGGGTGACTGAACTCTCCACAGGGAGAGACCTAGTCAATTGGAGCTCCCCTTCTGCACCTTGCACTGTGCCCCAGGCCTTGGACAGTCCCTCAGGAAGGCAGGAGGAGGAGAAGGTGGCTTTGGCTGTTGGGCCTGAATGTTTTGCTATTGCCTCTTGTGGGTGTTTGCTGGGAGTCGGAGTAGGCTGGAGGTTTGAAGAGAATCAGGAGTCTGAAAGTGTCTGCTTAGCTGCTCTGTCTCTGGCAGCAGCCATCTGGTCACCGGGAAGCCCGAGGTGACATACACTTTCTCTTTCCATAGCCACAAAGGGGAGTTAGTATGAGTCCTACCCTCTGGTTAAAGAGCCATGTTTGACAACTTTTTTATCCTTTGATTAAAGGAAACTGCACAGCTAACTTCTGGCACACATTTCTCCTTCTCTCGCTCTCTGTCTACACTCTGCTCAGCTGTTCAGTGGGTTCACAGTACAGGTTTGCTGTGCGTGCTGAGTCCCATTTCTGATGAAAGTAGACTTTGTTCTCTGGAGGCAGCTAATCGTGCCCCATGGGCTGTAATCAGGGAGAAGGTATTTAATACAGGGCAGGCGGCAACAGGCGGCCTGTACTGACTGGCAGATTGCAACATGGCAATTAGGAAGCTATCACCACCCCCCTCCCCTGCCCTAGCAGATAATGGGGTTGAGTCTCTCTGAACTGTTTTTGAGTAAGTAAAGAATGAATACTATGCAGAAGAGGAAGGGGAGGTGGAGTTAAGTGGGGGTGGGAGTGAGGGTTAAGGACAGCTGCTTTGCCTTCTCACCTCATCTCCAGGAGATGGGGAGGGTTTACTGCTGCTCTGGGTGTCTCCCTCAACTGTGTCTGCAGGTCCACCCCAGGAGCCCCAGCTCATACTGGGTCAGCCAGAGTTTTTAACTTTGGCCTCAGCCTTTCTCTGAGAGCACAGCTATACTTGTACTACAAACAGCACATGATCTGAGTCCTTTGCCTCCTGTTCCATAAAGCTCAGTTTGCAGTGAGGGGTAGGAGTAGAAATTCTCCCAGTCATTTTCTAAACATTCCAGAAGACCATTTTCTTAGAAGGGACCTGGTGTGAGCTCCAGAGGTCAGAGACGGGCCTGCTTGCTTCTCGTAGCCCTTATCCAACTGCTGTCCCTGGGACCTCCTCTTTCAGATGAGGATTAGAAGTCTTCCTAGAGCTGAAACACTCTGAAGCACTTGGGGAGCCCTCAGGTGAAGGAGATATGGTCAGAGGAGGCCACTTTAGTAGCTGGGATTGGCGGGCTCAGTCCAGGCATTTCTGCCCTTCTGTCTTCCAGTTCACTTTTCATCTCCCAGAGTGGGGGTCAGGTGCCCGGCTGTTATTGCTCTCATGCTGGGTCTGTTCTTACTTCCCTGTAGCACACAGACAGCAGCCTGCCAGGCCCATTATATTGCTATTCACTGCTGGATCTGTGGGCCCCTATGGGGCAAGGAGTGGCACAGACTCTCCCTCATGGACTGGCATGGAGGGCACGGCGGGCTCACTGGGAGGCTGTGTTCTTAGTGGGCACTGCCTTCTGCCTCCTGTTGGGAGTGTCTCCCTCCCTAGACTCTGATGTGTGTGAAGAGTTGGCTTTGACTGGCAGAGAGAAGCTCCCTCCACCTGCCCATCCTCCCTTTACACCCTTTTAGCCCAGAGAGCCTTTGCTGCATTTCCTGCCCACCTCATCGCCAGCCACATCCATCCTGCGCTCCTCCAGCAAGCCGGGGGAATTCCTGGCTCGGGCCAGGAATGAGGCAGGATGAGCTATGGGACGTGTGACAACTCAAACGAGGGCGGTGGTACTCAGTATGAGGACACTTTCCTTACAGGTAGAATTATTAGATACCCAAATGTGTCACTGTCCTCCCTACCTACCTTCCCGCCTACCTAGTGACCTGTTATCTCGTGGGCAGTGTGGCCATTGGCAGGAATAAGACTGGGGGGCCTCCCTGGTCGTGCAAGGGGGTAAGCACAGCACTATGAAGCCAGCCACAGCCACTTGGCATGAGTTCAGTCCCTGGCCAGGGAGCTGACCCACATGGCGGAGCAGACCTCTCTTGCCTCGCCCACTGCTCCCCTCAGCAGAGTATTTCAGTCAATTTCTGCCTGTTCTGTTTCTCTCTGTTTCTGGCGAATCCTCTCAATGCCCACACCTCTGGCCTACACCCCAGCTCTTATATGCATTAAAAAAAATCTTAAAAAAAAAAAAGGAATAAGGCTGGGGAAGAAGAAGCTGAGAATGGGTGGGGGGCAGGGTACACAAAAGTTTTTGCAGATGGGGAAGGGAGCAGGGACCTGGTTTCTCCGTAGAGATGGGAGCGGGCAGAGCAACTTTGGAGCCTCCCCTGGGTTCTGCCAGAGTGATTCTTGACTAACTTACTCCCATGTCACTGGCTCGACCCCCTTGCCAACTCATATATACCTCACACATCCCAGGTAGCAGACTGACTTGGGACTTTCTGGGCCTCTCCCCAGGCCATAGGACTTCCACCATGGAAGGGTGGCCCCAGGAACCTGAGGGGGGTGACTTGTGTGCTCCTCCACACCTCAGGAATGTGCTGTCCTTTCAGGCGCGCCCGGATTCTTGTGCAGGGAGGCAGCCCAGCCCGACACAGCATGCTGCTTGTGCCCTGTGGGGACACGTTCTGCCTCACCATCAAAGGGGTGGAGGCTGGCGGCTCGTGCCTGCTGCCACGCCCCCCCACCCCCCCAAGCCTGAGACCAAGTTGCCCAGATGCCCAGACCCTGGAGGGGGCCCCTCCTCCTTCCCTTCCCAGGCGGCCTCCCTACTCCCTACTCCCGCCTCCCTACCTCCGCACATTCATTCTGCCTCAGGCCCTGTTGGAATGTGACAGGAGTCATGGTCAGGGCATGTCCCAACAGCAGGAACACATGCTGTAGCCCGCAGGCTTCCCTTAGTCCCCAGCTCTGCCGAGGTGGATGGCGGCAGAGATTGTTTGTGCCCAGAAGGCCACCTAAGGTTACTGCCTCCATGGGTCCCTGTGGTGGCTGCTGCCCCCATGCTGCAGCCCAGCTTATTACATGTGGGACAGAGCTGGAGACCCCGAGATTCTAGAGGGGAGCACACAGGTCCAGTCACTTCTGTGTAGATGAGGAAGGGGCCTGAGCACGGCCATGTTCTGTGTGAGAAGCAGCACTGAGCCCAGGCCCCTGATGTTGGTTCCCACACCAGGGTTTCTCAGCCTCCCTTGCTGGGAATTCTTTGTTGTGGGAGTTGTCACACACACTGTAGGGTGGCCACAGCATCGCTGGGCTCGCCCATTAGATGCCAGTAGTACCCATCCCTGTTGGGATAACCAGAATTGTTTTCAGTCATTGCCAGATACCTGGGAGGAGGGGAGCAAGGGGGACCAGAATGACTGGTTGCTCTAAGCGTCTCCCTTTGGAGGTTTTCTCCCCTGGGCTTACCCATTCTTGTTGGAGAGGATACCACCATTGTATACAGAGATGGCCTTTGGGCTGCTTCAGGGAACACTGCCAATAGCTTTCTTCCTAGCATCTTCTCAGGTCTCTACTAGCCTTTCCCCCATTGTTCTTCTCTGCAAACCACCTACCTCAAACCTCTTAGTTGTTTCCAGTCTCTGGGAGATGAGCAGGACTGATGGGGGTGGGATAGAACTGGGCATTGGTAGGCTGAACCATGGACACCAGCACAGACACACACAAGTCGTGGTGGGGCCTGTGATGTGCTTGTGTGGAGGAAGGCAACAGCCCAGTGTTCCTGTCTTGGCCCTGCTTTCCCGTCAGCCTCCCTGTTTCATGACCTTTCTGCTTGGCTCTCCTTTGGGTCCTTCCAGGTCCTGGACTGGGTAGGCAGGCCCATGGCACTGACAGGCAGCTGACACCTGGTTTCCACTTTCTTTGCTTCTCTGGTTTCAGGAGCTGTTGGCTGGAGGAAGTGGAGGGGCTGTGGGATGCAGAGAGCCGAGGGCTAACTCCCGGACAGCGGAACCAAGAGATCTGCCGACACTCAGACGGTATGTCCCTGATGAGGATTGTGCCCCTTACTTGGCTCTCTTCTGGGGAGGCTGGCAGGTAAGCGGGCAGGCAGGTGGCCCCTATTGGCAGGGGTTTTTGGAAAGAGAGTGGTGAAGGCTTGAACTTGGAGACTTCCACTCAGGAGTCTGGGTTGGGGTGAGCATCCTCACTTTATGGCCATGATTTATTTTTTGAATCTAACATGTATTATGCATTTTGTAAGTGCCAGGTACTGTTTTTAGTGATTTATATAATCTACAACAATGCTATGAAATTGGTGCTATTCTTATCCCCAATCTAGAGTTGAACGACACACAAAGAACAGATTTTTTCCCTCTGAGCTCAGGGAGAGTGTGGGCTGCCCTTTGGACACTCTGCCCTGCTCCTAGGACAGGCCACTCTTCCTCATGTCAGCCCTGCCGCTCCCTCTCCTCCTTTTCCCTTGGGCTCATGACCGCTCTCCCAGCCAGCACTACCCTGACCCCTGGGCACTGATGTACCAAATACCAGCCTTCTATTGAGCCCAGCAATGGCCCAGGCCTGTCAGCTTGCCTCATAGCTCCTGTCTATGTCTCCTTTCACTGTCTTGTCCTTCATGCAAAGGCCTGTTGCCCATGTTTCTGAACTGCCTTCTTGCTGCTTCCCCTCAGCAGGTCCTCACCTTCCAGAATGACCAGTGCGGCCCCTGCAAAGAAACCCTACCGTAAGGCACCACCAGAGCATCGGGAGTTGCGGCCGGAAGGTCCTGGATCCAAGCTTGAGCAGGAGGTCAGCAAGACTGGTACTGCAGGTCTGACTGGCGGAGGTGGTGTCAAGCTCAGGGGTTCTCCTGTCTGAGGAGACTGGTCTCCCTGGTTGGGATGAGACTAGCACTGCGATTACAGGCCTAGGGGCTCCTAACTGCGGCAGTGCTGGCGAGGCAGCGTAGGTGCCTCAGAGACGGCTGTGAGGATGTGGCCCATGCCAAAGGACCCCAGAGTCTCTAGCTCAGCAGAGAGGATCCCGTGGACTATCAGTCTTCCTGAGAGGTACCCTCCAGTTTGTTTGGAGGCATGATTCTGGTCCTCCAAACTGACCCCACTAAGGGTGATGAAAAGGTGTGCTGTGGCTACGTCCACGGCCCAGCTGCTCATTGCTGTCCCTGGAAGTCTAGTCCTTCCTCTGGATTTGCTTTATTAGACTAACATTTGTTCAGTAGTTCCCTGCTAGGAACTAGGCGGCCTTCTGCAAAACATTCTGCAGATCAGTTAGCCTCCTTTAAGCTTACTAGCAGGAAGAGGGGAGTGTCGCAGGAGCGTACTCACATTGCTTGCTCATTTCCGTCCTGTTGCAGTGCAGGAAGCACATTCCCAGAACCTGAGATAGCCAACATGTGCTGCGTGTCAGGCACGCTGTGGCCCCTTTGCTGAGATGCAGGGCAGAAATGTTATGACTTCCTATCTCCTAAGTTGCCTGTTTCAGCTCAGGGAATGTTCGGTACAAAGGCCTGCTACAAGTCGGCATCCCCCTAGTTCTGTAGATGAGGACACGGAGGCTCAGTGAGGTGAAAATACCTTGTGTGATAGAACAGGATCAAGTTCAGGGTCAGTGACTCCAGAGTCCATAATCTGGGCCCCTCACCTCATTTTCCTGAAACAGAACTCCAGTCTGATTTTGGAATGGGCCCCCTGACATTTCCCACTTGCTGAAGCATGTGTCTGCTCTCTTCTGGCTGGCTGAGCTCTGACCAGCATGGGGCTTGGGGCACAAAAGGGGTAGCACGTAAAGCCAGGCAAGGCGTTTCACCCTTTTCAGCCAGGCTTTGACAAGGGATGGCTTTTACTCATGTCTTTTAAGGGGCCTGAGTGTCTCTGTCTTTCCCCGGAGGCCTGGAGGGCTTTGTCAGAGTTCAGAATCCTGCTCCAGTTTGCTGATCGCTTCACTTCACTGTCAGCTTGCCTCATAGCTCCTGTCTATGTCTCCTTTCACTGTCTTGTCCTTCATGCAAAGGCCTGATCTGGAGGATCTTGGCCATACCCTGCAGGGCCCAAACGAGCCCAGTGAGCAGCAGAGGCTCTGTTTAATCCTGGGAGAGGTAGTGTGGGTGCCAGGACACGGTTGCAGCTGGCCCAAGAAGTAAGAGGTGTTCGAGCTGGCGTGAATAAGGGTAAGGGTCGGAAGGGGTCTTGGGGCATCACACTGAGAGAGACCGAGGTATCTCTGGGCATTACTGGGTTGCCTCCATCTTTCCAGGGCCTGCAGCCCACTTCTGCTGTGAGTCTTTGGGTGTTAGACATGGCCCCTTCCAGGGCTCTTTGGAGGGTGGACCAAGCGGGAGGCCAGTGATCCAGAGCTGAGCCTCCAGCTTCTGTTCTTTTGTATCCAGGAGCCCTTGACTGATGCGGAGAGGATGAAGTGAGTATCTGCCGTCTGCGAGACCGCCCTACCTGGCCCTGACTCGGCGCTCTCCCCCTTAGCTCTGAGGCAGGCTGTTGGTGCAGTGGGGCTTTTCCTTGAATTACGTAGAGGTAGAGATTGGGGGATTGTTTTAGGGAATCTGGGAGTAAGCTTAATGCTGTGAATATTCCTTCTGGGAAAAGTTTCATGGACTCCAAAAAAATTTTAAATCAAGATGGATGGCCCCGGCGGGCCTGCTCGTGCCAAAGAGCTCTTCCCTATCCCTGCGCCCTCCCTTGCCAGCTGCCTGCCCGCAGCCCTTTCTACCAGCCACATGAAGTCTCTGGAGAGGAAGGCAGTGCTGGACTGGATTTCCAAGAGATTAATAATGGAGCAGCCTGATTGTGCAGTGGGGAAACTGGATCTGGGGGGCTTGGTGGCTGGCTGGCTTGGGCTGTAACCATAGACAGATTGGGAACTGTAACTCCCACCCCTTCAATTCTGTCGTCTTCTCCAATGAGGGGGATGGTGGACCGTTCTCTACCCTCCCTTCTTCCCTTCCCGCACCATGCAAGTGTGGTCTCAGGGTCAGCGGGCTGCCCCAGGCTTAGGCTCGGTGTCCAGGATCCCCCTACCCCCAGTTGCTGGTTTTCATACCTGTCTTACTCTCTTGTCCTAGTCTGAAACTCCAGGACTGCTTCTTTCTCTGACGCTTCTCTGCTCTTGACCCCTCACCTGCCAGGCTCTTACAGCAAGAGAATGAGGAACTGCGCCGACGCCTGGCTTCGGCCACCAGACGCACTGAGGCCCTGGAGCGTGAACTAGAAATTGGTCAGGACTGTCTGGAGCTGGAACTGGGCCAGAGCCGTGAGGAGCTGGACAAGTTCAAAGACAAATTTCGCAGGTGTGGAAACAAGGGCCAGGCCACACATGCACGCACTTCCTGTTCATTGGGTGAGCTGCAAGAGGCCTCCGATCACCTGACTCCAGAGCACAGGCTGAAGTTGTGGGAAGAGGGTGCCTTTGCTAAGATCCCGTATCAAGAAAGGGCTAAGAGGGACCTAAGAACAGGACCTAGACTCAGGTCTGCCTTGTCTACCTCTGTAGGCTGCAGAACAGCTACACGGCTTCCCAGCGGACCAATCAGGAGCTGGAGGACAAGCTGCACACGCTGGTAATCTGTCCACAAGGGCAGCTCGGCTGGCACTGTGCTCGCAGCAGAGCAGGGGCTAGAACTTGCGGGGGGCCATTCTGCCCTGGGGCCTGGGAGGCGGGCTGGGGCGGTGGGCAGGGCCGCAGCGTGCTGTGCGAGTCAGGACTGTTAATGCTCACACTGTTTCTCTTCTCTCCTCGTCTCCCTCATGCTGCCACCGTTGCTGCTGCACTCTCCTCTCAGGCCTCCCTTAGCCACAGCTGGATTTTTGCAGTTGCGTCTGAGTTTGTGTGTTTTCTCCTTTGCCCTGGCTTCCTCCTCAGTTGAGGTCCGGGAATGCCGGGGTCCTGACTGGTTCCCTCTGCCCACTGCTCTCCTCTTCCTTCCGTGAGGCCCATTCAGTGACCATTGGCTTCCTCCTGGGAGGCAGCTGGGGATTCTGCTCAGGCCAGAGCAGAGGTACTGACTGATGTCACCAGTGAACACTTGGCTTCTCAGCTGCCAAGCGGCAGGCCCACCCATTGGGGGCGAGGGGGCTGTGGGTCCACTCTGCGAGTTGACATGAGAAGGCTGCTTTGAGCCTCCGGTTAGCTTCCTGCTCAACTGGCTAATCTCATGGGTACCCCAGCTGCCATCCAGCCCCCACTCCTTCCCCTCGTCGCCTGCTTCTGGAAATAGTTACAGGCATAGACTTTAGCCCCTGGGTGTGTGAAGTTGTTGTCTCTGAGGTACCACTGGCCTTGCCCCCTCAACACCCCCGCCTCTGTCCTGGGTCTAGGCAGCAGGAGTCATGCTTAGGAGCCCCTACCCACAGCCGGCCCGGAAGGCAGGAGAGGTGTCCAGTCTCCTCTGTCTGTCCATTGTCTGTCTCCGCGCCATCTGCCTTGGCTGCTCTAGCACCTGTGGCTTCCTGTGTCTCTGGGCTGGGAGACGGCGGATGGGGAGGGCAGGCCAGCTGGGCTGTGGGCTGGGTTCACCGCCAGTCTTGTGCCTCAGGTTAAGAAGGCAGAGATGGATAGGAAAACACTGGACTGGGAGATCGTGGAGCTGACCAACAAGCTGCTGGATGCCAAGAATACCATCAACAAGCTGGAGGAGCTCAATGTATGTGCACTCTGGGGCCTTCCTCGCCGTCCTGCTCTGTGGCTCAGGGCAGGGCTCTGAACTGGGTCTGTGTCTACAGGAGCGCTACCGGCTGGACTGCAACCTGGCGGTGCAGCTGCTCAAGTGCAACAAATCCCACTTCCGAAACCACAAGTTCGCTGATGTGAGTAGAACCCCCTCCCTGCCAGGGCCACCCTCCTGCAGCGCCGTGCCAGCGCTCAGGATTCCTCCAACTTGAGTTTCCATGCCTTTCTGCTTTGCACCCCCACCATCCACCCCAGTCAGTCCACCCTGCCACTGGCTGGTGTCCTGTGTGCTCTTATGGGCTCTCACTAGGACTGGGGGCTGGAGCTGTTGATAATTCTGGGGCAGGAAGAGAAGGGCTCAATTTCAGGACCCCTTGCTGGAAGGAGCAGAGAGCCAGAACTTTTGGTTCTAAGACTATTAGGGAGGGGCAGAGGAGGAGAGGCCCATTTGACTCCCTACCCCAAGGGGCAAACTGAAGACTGTAGGGCCTCAAGCTCCCAGCTGGTGGAACCTATCACAGGAATGGAGGTATTTCCAAGGTCAGTACAGATTCTCAGAACTTAGGTCTGGCTTGGGCAGAAACCATGGCTGAGAGTGGGGAGATGGAAGTTTGAGACGTGGGCTTAGCACCAGTTCTGGGATGTTAATCAAATATCCTAGCTATGATAGTCAGCAGCTTCGAGTTATTTTATCCCTGCGAGCTTCAGTTTGTGAAATGAGATTATACCTCGCCATGGGGTGAAGAGAGGAGTTAGCAAAGCGCCGAGCACACAGTGGGACCTGAACACATTCACCGCTGCTTGCCGTGAGTCAAGCTGCCGTGGGCTGACGTGTTCACGTCTCTCTCCCCTCTCCTTTGCCCCAGCTGCCCTGTGAGCTGCAGGACATGGTTCAGAAACACCTGCACAGTGGTCAAGAGGCTGCCAGCCCCACCTCGAGCGTGGCCCCGGGGGCTGTGGTGCCCACCTCGGTCATCGCCCGGGTATTGGAGAAGCCAGAGTCTCTCCTGCTCAACTCAGCCCAGGCAGGCAGTGCTGGCCGCCCTTTGGCCGAGGATGTGTTTGTGCATGTGGACATGAGTGGAGATGCCCTAGGGGACCCAGCCAGTCCCCCAGCCCCTGGCAGCCCCACCCCTCAGCCCAATGGGGAGTGCACTGCTGGGGGCTCCCCCGAAGAGGACCTGCCCCTGCCAGCCTTTGAGAAGCTGAGCCCCTACCCCACCCCATCTCCGCCACACCCCCTGTACCCTGGCCGAAAGGTGATAGAGTTCTCTGAGGATAAGGTGCGGATCCCCCGCCACAGCCCCCTGCCCAACTGCACTTACGCCACCCGCCAGGCTATTTCCCTGAGCCTGGTGGAAGAGGGGAGTGAGCGGGCCCGCCCCAGCCCAGTGCCCAGCAGCCCTGCCTCAGCCCAGGCCTCACCCCGCCACCAGCCCAGCCCTGCCCCCGCAACACTCAGTGCCCCAGCCAGCTCCGCCAGCTCCGAGGAGGACCTGCTGGCCAGCTGGCAAAGGGCATTTGTGGACCGTACTCCGCCACCGGCTGCTGTGACCCAGCGGACAGCCTTCGGACGCGACACACTCCCTGAGCTGCAGCGCCATTTTGCTCTCAGCTCTGGTGACAGAGTTGAGGTTCAGGCACCTTCCCCCCCTGCTGAGAGCGAGCTTTTGCCTGCAACAGAATCTGGCCGTAGCTTTCTCAGGGAAGAGGACGAGGAGGAGCTGAATCTGCCTGCCAGTCTTGAGGAAGAGTGCCAGAGCTTGCTGCCCAGTGACGGTGGCACAGAGGAGGGGCCTGGCACGGTCCACACTGAGGGCAGGGCCTGGACCCTCCCTAGCTCCAGCCGCCCTCAGCGCAGCCCCAAAAGGATGGGGGTGCACCACCTACACAGAAAAGACAGCCTGACCCAGGCCCAGGAGCAGGGCAACTTGCTCAGCTAGGGCCCCCCCCATTGCCTTCCTGCCATTGCTGCACTGGGACCCCGAGGTGGCCATACTCCTGCAGCTCAGGGTCCTCCACCCAAACCAAGCCCTTGAACTTGCCTCTCTGCAGACTTGCACTGACAGCTCTTCCCGTGTGGGTAGGTCAGGTGGTGGCCACATCAGGCCATTTGGCTGCATTGACTGACCGGCACCAGCCTGCCTCATGTTTTTCCCATTTCTTCTTGGAATATTCTCTAAAGTCATATGCAGTTGGGGTTCAAGTTGTTTCTTCCAGTCAGCCCAACCCAAACTGGGCTGTTCTGGGGAGCTAAAGGGTTGATTACATCAGTGTTCTCTCTCCATCCGCCTTTTGTATCCACAAGTTTATGTTTTTGTTTTGTCTTTGTTGAGATTAACTTCCCAATTTCTGTTTTCCACCATTTCCTTTTCCCCCAAGTCTCAGCATGAGCTGTTGCCGTCAGGGGCCCTGGCACAGCATTCCTGGGGGCTGTGAGGGGGAGGACTGACTCAGCCTTGAGCTTTTCCCTCCTTCCCTCCGCCCCTCCCTCTGGAAGGGAGTGGAGGGTGGACTTCAGAGCCTCAAGGTGGGCTCGAGGTGAGGCCCGGTCCCCCTTCTGACCTTGGCTGTAGACTGTTACTTCCAGCTTTGGGAAATTTTCACATGGATGATTATTTTAAGATTAAACTATTTTACTGGTATGACCTAACTTGTCTATTAATGGCTTCTTTCCACCACTCTCTCCCTGTTCTTGAGTATTTAAAATCCTTGTCATGTCCATGTCTTTGCTGGTTACTCCCTTGTCCCCACACCAACTGTGCTTCCTTGGGCACAGCAGTAGGCTGTGGACAGTAGGAGAGGATGTCAAGTGAACCTGACAGGGCCCTAGTCTCTCCTTGTGTAGGGTCCAGCCTATCTCTGGGGGTGGGCTCATGAACCTAGTTATGACCCCTGGGACTGATGTTACTCCAGAACCCAGGTGTAGGAATCCAAGGCTTGGGACCAGAAGATGCTGCCTTGGGTTGTGGGGTGACACTGCCCCCTAGTGGTGCGTAGTGGTAGTCCAGTTCCTCCCCTTCTGCCCGGCCACCCCCCCAGTGATCACAGCCACACACCACTTTGTAGAGTTGGTAAAATCTCTTCCGAACCAGCGGGCTGCAGCCAGAGCTGCCAACAAGTCCAGAGGTATTGCCTTGGGCTAAAGTGCCCCCAAGACACTTAGTCACAGCTTCCAGAGCCACCACAGTGCCAGGAACTGCCAGAGCCCCAGGCACCCACCCCAACCCCCACCCCAATTTCCACAGCCTGACCCTGGTGTCTGGGGCAGTGCTGGGGACATAGATAAATAGAACGATGTGCAGAGGCCCAAGTGGAGAATTACATCTCGGTCTCGGCCAACAGACTGTCCCCCAGTCCTGACGTCATTAGCACCATCTGAGAGCTGGGATCTGTGGAAGGGCAGAGGGTGTTCAGACCACCATTCATTCCTCCTCTGGGGATCAGAGATAGCTTGAGAGGCGGTTTAGGTTTCCCATACACTCCCTTATCCCAGCCCTCTTCCAAACCTGCCTCTGACCATCCTCTGGGGCTCTTACCACTGGGACACATCCAGGAGCTGCTGCCCCTCTGCTGGGCAGCAGGCTCCCGGCCTCTCTGTCGTTCCTGGGTGTCGCCAGCCCCACCTGCCACCTCTTCCTCCTCTTCCCCCTCGGAGAGGAGATCACAGATCTGCTGCTGCAGCTCTGGGCTAATGCTGTTCTCAGCCAACACCAGGCTCCGCAAAGCTGTGGGATAATTTTCTACCATGTCCAGCAGGGTCTGATGTGATGAGGAGAATGGAAAAGGATGAACACAGTTAAGGTGGCTCTTCACTCTCCAACCTGCCAATCCTTTAGTATGTGTGTGGCCTCCCCCCAACCTCTGATCTTCCCCAAGCATGAAAACATCTCACCTGAGCTGATTGGTTGGTAAGCCCAGTACCCTCCAAGTCTAGGACCTCCAAGGTGCGGCTGGAGGCCACAGCTACGGCCAGCATCCCTGCCACGTGGTCACCTGGGGAGATGGCACACACAATCTCCTGCATTCCCTTGAAGGCCTTCTTCCCCTGCAGTCTCCCCACTGCTCTAATGACCTAGGTCCCACCCCCAGGCTTGGAATCCCTGATCGTGGTAGGTGGTCAGGAGGGGGCATTGTGATGGGTGAGTGAATGAAGGAAGCCAGTCAGGAACAGGGATGGTGACTGATGCTTTCATCTACTGTAGGTCATCTGGTCCTCTGCACAAAGTTTCCTCTGTTACCTCCAAGATCACCGTCCTCTCCCCTCCCAGGGTGGGGGTTGCCATGACAGGTATTGGATGGGGAAGGGCAGTGAGAATTGAAGGGGGCTTTCTGAGCCTCACCCAGGGGGTTGTAGTCCAGATTGAGGACGCGGACCTGGGAGCTGTGGGCCACAGCAATGGCAAGGCGGCTCCAGCCTTTAGGGGTGATGCCAGGATTGGCACTCAGCGTTAGCTCCTTCAGGCCTGGACAGCATCAATGGACAAGTCAGCATGGAGGTCAGGCTCTCCGTAAGCCTTGACCCCTACTCCCAGATCTCTGGGGTGTCCCCAGTGGCTGGGAGTCACCCCACTCCCACTCAGACCCATGACTTCCCTGCCCATCCCAGCCTGGACCCGAGCCTCTATCTTGTTGAGCCTCCAATCCCTAAGAGGAATTTAAAACATTCTTACCCACACTGTTCGCGCCCTCAGCTGTGGACCACACTCTGCCCTCTGTACTTGGCTTTTCACCAAAGTTACAACAGCCTAAGTCCCACAGGGCCTGCTCACCAGACTTGGCCCCGTCTGGGGGGAGGAGGCCACAGATGAGGTTGATAGCTTCGTCACCCAGCATGCAGTCCCCCAGGTCCAGAGCCACGAGAGCAGGATGGAGGGCCAGGGCTGGGTTCAACAAGGCCAGCCCCGCATCTGTCAGGGGGCTGCCGTGCAGGCTGGGGGTGGAAGCAGAGAGCGGAGGTTATCGCAGTAATTGATTCTCGGGGAGTGCAGATAGAAGGGGAATTTGGTTCCTTTTCTGGGGTAGGCACTGAGATCCAGGACAGGTCACAGAGAAGGCTTTGTGGGTGGCTTGGAACACTTCTGTGGATACAATGGAGAGGCAGGGGCCTAGGACACCAAGGAGTCCTCCTTCTTGGAAACTGAGGAGCTGCCCCTGAGAAATCAATGGGTGTGGTAGGAAGACGGGGAAGGGGGTGAGTATCCCATCTCATTTGGGGTGGGGCTGCAAGTGTGCAAAGTCTGGAGATGAAGCATGTGCTTGCAGGGTGCTGTACAGGCATGGGTAGAGGAACAGGCTGTGTGTACAAGGGGTGAGAAGGTGGGCTGGTGGAAAGACAGGTAAGGAAGGCGGGTGGAGGTAAGGGGGTGCAGTGCCCGGGACCCCCTTGCGAGGGAGTGCACTCACAAGAGGGACTGGATGGAGCGGTTGGTCCGCAGCGCTTCCGCCAGCTGCTTGATACGGCTGGGACTGGACACGACGCCCAGGTTAAGGTTGAGCTGCGCCAGGGACGTGGCCCCCGCCAGGGCCCTGCAGATGCGGCCGAAGTCGCGGTCGCAGAGACGGCAGCCGCGCAGGGAGAGCAGGCGCACGGCGTTGTCGCGCAGGCCGCGGCAGATGTCCCGCACCTCGGCGCCTGACAGCGGCTCCCCCGAAATCTGGATGGAGCTGGGCAGCATCGTACCCACGGCCGGGCCGCCGGGGCCGGGGCCGGGGCCCGGGCCGCGGTCGAGGTTGGCTGCCCAGGGGAGGAGAGGCT